CAAACCAGGGTTCACCTTCACAGCTTCCTGCAATGCAGTGACCTCTCCAGGCCTCCACTCCCCCGTGACACGGCTGGCCTTGGCAGCTTTTATAATCTTGGAGAAAGATTCTATAACTCCTTTCCTATATCCTTCTTAACTCTACAGCTGGAATCACAGGGCCAGCCAAAGCTGCCAACTTCTGCTTACTGGGGGTGGGACCAGGCCCATTCCTTGAATCATATTTGCATAAACTTTCTATTGTTGATGGTTTCCTTTGCTGCTTTAAATTTTCCTTTTATTCATTTTTATAAACTGGAAGCTTAACTGGTGGGATCTTGCCCTGAGGGCACCACTCCTTTTATTAATTTTGAATCAGGCCTTTCTTTAAACCTTCCATTCCCTTGAGCACAGGACTTAGCTCAACATTACATTGCCTGGTGTCCCTTTCTCAAAATGTACACTTACTATTTCCATTTGCCCTGTTTTCTCCTTTGTATTGCAGATCTGGTTAAGATATAATAACCACATGATAGTCACTACGAGGCTGTCTTGGAAGCTCCTCTATCAATAACCTTAATCCAAATCATTTTAGTTTGGCTCCAGGCACATTTTTGGGACAGTAGCTACACTCTTTGTTCAAATATCACAAGAATGGTCTGCAATCCTGCTGCTCATGTTAATGTTATTCCCTTCTAAAACTTTTTGAGCTAGGTTTTCTTACCCAAAAGATGACCCTTTAAGTCCCACTTAAAACTTTCAATGGCTTTCCTAGTCCAAAGTTCCAAAGTCCTGCAAACAACAGCATGGCCAGACCTGTCACAGTGAAGCCCAACTCCAGGTACCAATTTTTGTCTTAGTTACTTTTGTATTGCTGTGAAGGGGCATCATGACCAAGGCAACTGATAAAGGAAGGCATTTAATTGGGGGCTTGCTTACAGTTTCAGAGGGTGAGTCCACGACCATTATCGGGGAACTGACAGGTATGGCTCTGGAGCAGTGGCTGGGTGCTTTACACACTGGTTTTCTGGCAGTAGGTGGAGAGGGACAGACACTAGGCCTGGCATGGACTTTTGAAATATCAAAACCCATTCCAAGTGACACACCTCCTCTAACAAGGCCACACCTCCTTACCCTTCCCAAACAATTCCACTAACTGGGAACCAAACATTCAAATATATGAGCCTATGGAGCCATTCTCATTCAAGTCACCACACCTTCCTTTCTTGTTTATCCCCAACATTTCATATTAATATCACAATATAAAACATAATTAATCCCACAGATTTTTAAAAAATCTAAACACTTCAAAAAGCTCAGCCTATAAAATATCTAATTATCTATTTAGAAGGCCAAAATTTCCCAACTGTGGGCTCCTGAAAAAAAGAAAAACATCAAAATTAAGGTGTATACTTTCTTAGTCCAAGCAGGAAGAAGCAGAGTACAGTCACAATGAAATCAAAGTAACACCACAACTCAACAGTGTATATAGTTAGTGCCTGACAGCTCCCACCCACTTAGGATCATCTGACCCAGAAGACGCACTTCTTCATCCTTCCATCTAACATAAGCCTGAACACACACACACACACACACACACACACACACACACACACCACAGCAGCTGCCGTCCATGGCGATTGTGGCAGTGCTAGTGTTAGTATTCAGGCATCTGTACTGGCTTGTCTTTGGGGTTCCAACAGGATATGCTCTCAGCTGCAGCCTGTGCACATTCACTAAGTTCCCTTTTAAAAGGGCCTTGTGTACCTCCCACCCTCTTTCCCTACCTCTGTCTCCCTCCCCTCTTCTAACCTTCTCTTCTCTCCTCTCCCATTCTGCCTCTTTGCTCTCCCCTGCTGCTCATGTCCCAGGAGGCTGGTTTCTATGGTAACATCCCCCACCAAACAAAACAAAACAAAACAAACCCTCTCACACAGCATCTTTCTCTCGGGTGCTGCTTTTTAAAAAATTACAACACCTAGCATTTCCAATATGCTGGCATCTCCACAGTGAGTGAGGCTGCACCCTCACCAGTGGCCTCCCCTGGCTGCTTTTTAGGCCACACAGTACCAAGTCTCAGCTGTCCTCCATGACTGAGTCTCTGGTCTTCAAAACCAGTACCAGCTGGGTGAGTTTTACACATCACCAAATCCAGCTAGTAGCTAGCAGCCATAAAGCCCCCATGGACCACATCTTCTGAGGGGAGACCTCAAGGAAACACCACCAGAAAATTTCACTTCAATGATGTTGATCTTGTCTTAATTACCAATTTCTTAGCACCAGCTGGCCAGCACGGTAGTTCTGGTCTCTTGTTAACCACAGCTGATCCAACTCCAGCTGACCAGAGCCACAGATTCTCAATACAAAACAGTACATGAATTACTTTAATAGTCTTTGCTTCCCTTTAAAACTTCACAAGCCAGGCCACCATCTCCCTCCCTCAGCTTCATCTTTCAAGTTCCCACAACAGCTCATTAAACTGAGGACTCAATTGTTCTGCCAACCCCCAAACCCCGACAATCTCCCACAGCATGGTGAGTTCTGTGACAGCAATAGCCCAGATCCTGGTATTAGTTTCCCCTGTTTGCTTCTTATTGATTTCTGCAACAAAAGACCAAAAGCAACCTGGGAAGGGTTTGTTTGGTTTACAGATTACAGGAGGTAGGGGTGGGACAAGGCAGGAACTGAGGCAAGGACCAGGGGAGAACACACCTTCCTGTCTTGCTTATGACTCAGCTTGATTCTTATATAACCAATAATGCCTGCTACGATCGCTAACCTTGATTGTCAACTTGACTACATCTGAAATTAACTAAAGCGCAAAGCACCTGGGCAAAGCTGTGAGGTTTGTCTTGATTGGCTCAAAGCACGAATAACCACCCTAACATGAGCCACACCTGGTGGCAGAGCATACAAAGTCATGGGAGAAGGAAGCTTTGTCTTTTTGCCGGCTTGCCCTTACTCTGTTAGCCCATCCTGCTGCTAGCCATTACTTCACTGATAGTAGAATCTAATTCCTCAGGATTCCAACATAGAGTGAAGACTGCATGAGAAACCCAGCCTCATGAACTGATCAAGTCTCACATTCTTGGTCATTCCATAAGGAGACAGCCATCCTTGGGTTGGCCAGACCACAGCCTGTAATCCACTCCAATACCTACCCTTTTAATATATAGATTAATTATACCAATTCTGTTCCACTAGAGACCTTAATACAACTGCCCAGGAAACTGCATGCATGAGCCAACTGCAGTGACAAAATGCCCTAAGCCGTGGGTGATGGTCACAAAGCTTTAAGGCCCACTGGACAGTTACAAAACCGGAACCTAGGAGTGGTCCCAAGAGCAACTGGGATATGGCATCTCTAGCCTCTGTGCTGATACTGTCTGCAATGGGACTACAGACTGGCCACTGTGTTGCTCTGGCTGAGTTCACACATGGCTGTCACCCTGCCACCGCAGACATGGGCCCACCAGAGGGCTCCCAGTAGAAGCCTGCAGTTATTTCCTGCCCATCCCCAGCTGGTGAGATACCTGTTTACATGAGACTCCTGTAACCTTTATAACAGCATGGTGTGAATAAAGTGAGCACATTCCAAAGGCAAACCTCATGTGGACATCTTCATTCCCAAGGTTCTCACGGCTCAGCAGTTCTGCTCCTCATAGGTACATATGATGGTGTGGTTTAAACGCCACTGTGCTTGAGCAGCTTCTACTCTATGGTCTTTCCAGCAGCAGCCAACATGCTTCCTTGAGCTGCCTCATGCTTCCTCAGTGGACATTCCACAACTCTGTCACCTCTAACATCCTGGGTCTCCATCACCTTTCCCTCCACGGACCTCTTAGGGCTAGGTGCTGTGAGATCTTGGCCCTGCTACACTACACAGTACCGATTCTCACAAGCCTTCTTTTTGGAAGCCTCTGTGGTCCTACAACCCTTGCATTCTGCATCTCTGCAGAATCAGCATCAAAGGGACAATGCCAACGTCTGTTGATAGCAGGATCAGTTATCTGGGACTATGCATGGCTCCAGTGGCTTCAAAGTACTTGGATAGCTCAATAGGGTGAAGAAATTCTGGGAGAAACAACTGCCTAGGTCAGTGATTCTTAACCTTCCTAATGCTACAATCCTTTAATACAGTTGTGGTGACTCCCAACCATAAAATTATCTCAATGCTACTTCATAACTGTAATTTTGCTGTTATTAATCATAATGTAAAAACTGATATGTAGGGTATGATATCTGACCCACAGGTTAAGAACTGATGGCCTAGGGGGTTCTGTACAGCAAGGCACCCTCTAAAAAGTTTAATGGTTTACATCCTCCAACCTGAGCAGCTCCAGAGATACCCTCCAGGAGGAACCTTTCCTACTTCTCAGCATCTTTGAATGGCCTGAATCTCTCCAATAGCCACACCTTCCATGACCCCAGATTTCTTTTCTGGTCAACCTGAAAAATTCAACTAAAATTCTTTTAGCAGTTGAGCTTTATGATTTCTGCTGTCAATCCAGCCAAACCAAGCAGCTATCCCAGGCCTCACCCAGAGTGCTGTGCTGACCTGACCATTTCTCCACATTAGCCTGTCACCTTTAAACTCTGCTTTACATAAAATCTCAGGGCCTTAACAGAATGGCCTCTAGTCCTACTCCAAAACAGTTCTTGCTCCTGTCGGAGACCTGTTAGCAGTCTTTACTGTCTGCATTCTGACCAGCATGAATGATCTTCTGAGGTCCCAGCAGAAGCATCTTTGTTTTTTTTTGTTTTTTTTGTTTTTCCCCTCCCTTTTTTCATTTTAGGCTTTCTCTAAGTGGCATAAACATATATTTTAATACCAGTTCAAAAGGCTTCTAAACCACATTGTCAGACATAATTATAGTAGTGACCCTAGTTCTGGGTACCATGTTTCTGTTAATTAGTTTTCTGTTGCTGTGACAAAGTATCCGAGAAAACAAACTTAAAGCAGGATTTGAAAAAAAAGTCCACACACACACACACACACACACAAAAGAGCACCTCACATATTTGTGTGTGACAAATATACTCCTCTTTATTGTTACTACGGTTTCTCCATACCCCTCAGTAACAGAGCACTTATTTAATCCCGCTATTGGCCATGGTTTGGGCCCTGCAAACTCCCTTCCCCTTCACCTCAAAGGGAACCCCCTTGTATGTGGCCACACAGTCAGCATTGGTGTGCAGGTCAGGCTGGACCTGCTCCCAAATCTTCTTCTTAGGGTTCAGCTCCTTGTCAGGCTCTCCTGTTCGGAGAAAAACCAGCAAGTTACATAAGCAACATGTGGACATGCAGACACTGAAATGTTCCCATGCATTTTTACAGCGCTTGATCCTTAGCTTTAATCGGACGCCTTTCATTTAACCTTACTTTACATCAGCAGTGTATATTCTTTCTTGATTGGTAAAATAAAACAGTTATCATTTCCTTAGGAACACTAAACATATATTTCAAGTATTTCTACAGATAATATAGGTTAATAATAGGTTATCATCATTGTTGTTATTACCGAAGTACTGGGGATTAAACCCAAGGCTTTATGACTGCTATGCAAGCATGTTATCATTTAAGCTAAATCCCCAGCCCCAAATTACTCAAAGAAAATTGTAAAGAAAATAGAGGAAGACAGGAGCCCATTCAGATTTGTTGGACTTTTAGTTTATGAGGATCAGTAAGAACGTGGGGGAGCACTTTCTAAACACCAGAAACACATGTTGTTGCCTGAAATGCATACAGCAACCTTGATTCTAATAAGACACACGGAGAAATACAAGGAGAGAGACGATAAGCTGCAGGCACAGGCAGGATATGACGTCACAGCCTGATACTTCTGGGACAGCACCTGGCCTCCTGAGATGACACACTGTGGCTTATAACAGGAACAGATGTCCCTAGGATCAGTGGACACTATCCCTGCTCCCTGTTTTCAGTAAGGGCAGTGTGTGCTTTATAGTCAACAGAAGACAAGGAGTGAAGGACCTCTGTTGTAAGTGTAAAGATAAGCAAGAGTCCGAATTACTCTTCTACCTAACAGGGAAGCAGACTATCTGATTACTGGTAATAGTTTATGCTCCGTACTCTCCCCCCACAGATTCATATGCATGCAAATAACAAAATGCAGAATGTTCTGGTTCTGATGTCTGTTCTTTTTTATAGCTCTTCAGTGACTAAAAATTTAAGAAAAACAAAAATAAAGTAAAACTCTGTCTACAAATATAAATACATTTTTCTGAAATACCAGAATAGTTAATGAATATCACACTTCTAGCAGACCACGCAACTGTGTAATGGAGTGAGCTGAAACAGCAACACAAACAGATTTGGAAGAGGGAGGTTCCAACCCCACAGATGGCTCTGAAGAGACATCGGTAGAGGAAGAAACTGCAGACTCTGGACAAGGAATACAAGTGGAGACTGAGGAGGAGCTCAAACCATGCCAATTTCACACAAAACTGCTGGGTAAGAAGCTGCTCGTGTCCAGACACCATGAGACAAGTAATGAAAATAGAAATGGCTATCGTGTGAACTTCACCATCTTATTTTAAGAAACCATCACAGCCACTTCAGCTTCTGCCAACGACTACCCTCATCAATCAGAAGCCTCCAACAGTATGACATATTACAGCAGCACAATGGTACCATGTAAAGGCTCAGCAATCATCAGAATATTTTAGCACTATGTTATTTTTAGCTCAAGTGTGTTGCATTCCATCTTACACATAATGCTACTCACAGTGTAAACGTAACCTTTTTCTTTCGTTTCCAACAGGATCTCAACATATAGCCCTGACTGGCCTGAAACTTATTCTATAGATCAGGCTGGCCTTGAATGCAGAGATTTGCCTGTCTCTGCCTTCCAAGTACTTAAAATCCCATGCAACCACAACATAAAGTCCGGTCCCCAAACATAACTTTTCTACGTAACAGAAAACCAAAAGGTTCATGGGACAGATATTCATCCTATGGGTATGGTCTAGAACCAAATCTGAGTATCTTGGTTCATTCACTTATTCTTTGAAAATTTTCATACCACAAAAAATGTTAATATGAAAACCTTTTGCATTAGGAACCCTGAAGGCTAAAAAAGTCTTGATTTCAGTGTTAATTTTTCTGCTTTACCAAAAGTGTCTCCTAATAATGCACTAGTCAACAGATAACAAGGCTAGTTGGAAACAAAAGTGGAATAAACCTTGAGACATCTTGTTGACTCATCAGGTAAACTCACACCCAGAATCTGAGACTGATTCTCAGAACCCACATGGCGGAAGGAGTGACTACCAGTAGCTCTTGGATGTCCATGTGCACACCCATGGTATGAGTACAGACATACTTGCACATGTGTGTGCGCACATGCACTACAATGTAAGAAAACATACTTCAAGTGCCTTAAACTGTATCCTACAAAGAAGTCTATTCTCATTTTTATGTGATGTCATTCTAGTATTTTCCTAACCTTTTCCTTTTTTGTATAGGTATCAAAAAATATGATGATGCCTCTCTCACACACACAAAATAATTAATCTTTAAAGAAGATGGGAACACTTGTTCTACCCTGGGACATGTAAGCACATGTAAGCAAAGAAGTCCTGGAATTACACAGTATACTGTATCCCATCCAGTTTAATTCTTATCTTCAAATAATAAATAGGTTAACTATTAATATGGAAAGGTCAATCAGGATTATTTATATTTTTCTTAATGGATGCTAAATCTTAAAGGGAAAACTTACTTAAGTATGGATACTGACAGTATGTGTAGAAAACAGCCATGGTAGCCTCTTCCAGACCATTCCTCCTGAGATAAGATTTGCTAATCAGTCTCTTACTTTTACAAACATTTTCTATATCTGGCAGGCATTCTTTTTTCTGCTTCAAAGATCTATTTCTTAAGTTAGGTATGATGGTTCATGCCTATAATCCCAACCCTTTGGATGAGAAAGCAGGAGGATGGCTTGGCTTATAGATGAGATACTGTTGGAAGGACCTGGCGGTCAGAGGTTGCACTCTACCAAGGTCTGAGTTTGACAGTATGGAAGACTCCCTCCTAGTGGGAGCTTCCTGCTTTTTACCTAGCCTTATCTGGAAGATGTCTCTAGGCCTGGATGCCTGACTTATCTCAAGGATGACCCTTGACAGTTCCCTGCAAAAAGCCCTTCACTGATGCCCATATGGTAATTAAGTGAATTATTCTAGCCATTTTCATAGGGATGCTGCCATTAATCTAGCTATTATGATAGGAGCATGGTGTAAATTAGGTGATAGCCCAGCCTCTGCACCAACCTTCCTATCTCTCCTCTCTCTGTCTCGCTAAAACTGCTCCTGGAACACTATTTCTGCTGTATAATTAAGTAAATTACCCTAGCTCTTTGTGGCCAATAGACTTCATGGAAAAAGGAGTGCTGTGAAAAATCCTCCCGTACACTGTAAAAATTGTCACTCAAGTTGGGTTAATAAAATGCTGTTTGGCCAGTAGCCAGGCAGGAAGTAGACATGGGGCAACACAACTAAGGATGACAGGAAATAGAAGGCTGGAGGGAGGAGTTGCCAGCCAGACGCAGAGGAAGCAGGAGATGACTGTGTCATGATAATATAGGTGCTGCCACATGGCAAAGTGTAAATATGGAATAATTTTAAAATGTAAGAGCTAGTTAGGAATAAGCTTGAGCTATTGGCTGAACATTTATAATTAATATAAGCCTCTGTGTGGTAATCTGGGAAGCAGCTGCTGGGTATTTGGGAACTGGTGGGTGGAGAAAAATGTCTCATTACAAATGGAACTCCACAAGGTACTATCTCAAAATGTAACAGAACAAGGCAAGAAATCCTTTCTATTCTTCCTGTAGGATGATGCTTCAGTTGTCTCAGGAACACTTACACTGAAGAAAACAAACTACTTAAAAGGAACTCACTTTCCATCACTAGCCTTTGTCTTGTCATCTGCAATTTAAGTGATTTTACTGCACAGCAATTTGATTCATATTTATGTCATATTGTTCTATAGGTATGAATATGAGCAATTTATATGGGAAAAAAACCTCTCCAGTACATCGTGTAATATGTGACTTTATGGACAGGAAGGTTATGTTATGTTCACTGTGCTATCATAAGCAAATTTCGTGAAAAACCCGATACACACGAGACTGGTTTTAACCTCTAGGCTTTATAAGCATCACTTAACTGATTCCTAATCTACTTAAATAACTATTAATACTTACCAGGGAAAGTATCAAAAATAATTCTGTCTCCAGGTACAGACCCATTGGGAGGGGCCAGAATTTCCACTTTCTCTGGTGAGCTAGCACACATTACCATTGCTTGAGAGGTTATTCCCCGCATTTTGGCAGGCTTCAGGTTACAAAGTAAAATCGCCATCCGATTTTGCATCTGTGCAGAACAAACGGAGCGATTTAGAATAATCACATGTAGGATATTCCAGGCACACTGACACATTACTTACCAAACATGTTACCTTTGTGGATGTTAACTACTGTGTAGCTAAAATATATTTAACTAGGAAGTCCTATATAAAAATGAAGGCTGATACCCTGTATACATAGGAAAAGAAAATCCCTCAAATCGGCAAAGCATGAGCACAACAGTAGAAGCTTTTTTCAAATGTATATGGGTATTTTGTTTTTTCCAAAGGTATGTAGGTGTTTTGCCTGCAATCACTTCTGTGCCCAGTGTCTATGGAGAAAGTGTCAAATCCCTGGAACTGGCGTTGTATATGGTCATGAATCTCCATAGGGGCACTGGGAAGAGGACCTGGGACCTCTGCAAAAAACAGCCTATGTATGTTCCTATCCACCAGGCCATCTGCCCAGACCGGAAGAAATTTCAGTTAAATATTTACATAAAGAATAAATAACTGAGTGAACCAGCTTGGTGGAAAATTTCAGTTACAACCAACTACAAATATATAAAGTTGATCCTCCATTTCCTTGAACTAGTGAAAAATCAGGGAACTCGGGAGCTGTCACACGATCAAATTACAATAAGCATGCATATTATCTGGGTCAGTATTACAACTAAAGTAAATGAACCAACTTCCATAAACTTTTTTTCAGTACCACCTAGCCACTTCTAACACTACACAACATTTCTCCTTTCCTCTTGCAATTCTGGAGACTGAACCTATGTGCACAGAACTGACTGGTGCTCCCTTCCTCAGCAGCAGCATCAGGCCATTCTTCAAAAGAAACTAACAGCTCAATAATCCAAGCACTGTACACATCACCATCAACATTTGGGGCTATTGCCACAGCTCGTTGTAGAGAAACTCTGTCAATCTTCCGGAGCTGAAATGCCTTAACTTTTCTCCCAATTATGCCCATCCTCTCCAGGCTTAATTAAAACAAAAGACAACTGCTTCAGGGAGAAAATAAAAGATGAATCCTAGATAAAAAGAAGGCAAATTCGATGCAAATTTATTTCTAGATTCAACAACTAAACCATGACTTGAATACACCCTTCATGGATAATGCTACTCCTTCAGCACTTGAAAATAACACATTATAACAATTTATAGAAACCAAACCTAGTAAAAACAGTATGCGAAATAGTTAAATGCAGTCTTTGCATGATCAAATGTAACTGTAGTCATTCTCTTTAGAAAAATAAAACAGACAAATGGGTGCCAGCACGTTACAGACTGTGGTCCTGCCTTACAGAATGCTTACTAGAACTGTCTTGAATTTGTGGTTTAGACAGATGTTCATATAAACAGCCCTGCTTAATGGCTATGAAAACCTCTAACTCCAGAGAGCAGACGAAACCCTTACGTAAAGTTTTTCCAATATGAACTTGTTAAGACTAGAAGGTTCCTTTTTTTAAGACTCTTAAGAGACTACTTTTTGTAGTACAGAAATGGCTCAGATGTTAGAGGGGAGAACTGAAGCCATGTGTTGGTGGTGAAAGCCTTTAATCCCAGGTACTGGAAAGCAGAGGCAGGAGGATCTGAGTTCAAGGCCAAACTGGTCTACAAGGACAGCCAAGGATACAGAGAAATTGTCTAAGGGTAAAAAAAAAAAAAAATTACTTTATAAAGACTTACAAAGGAAAGCTGCTTGTGCTGGTGCATTCTCCCAACACTCAGGAGGCAGAGGCAGGAAGATCTTTGGGAGTACATGCTCAGACAGTTACATAAAGAAACCCCATCTCACAGGGCATGGTGGCACATGCCTTTAAACCCTGAATTTGGAAGGTGGAGGAAGGAGGAGCTCTTTGAGTTCAAGACCAGCCTGTTCTAGAAAAAGAGTTCCAGGCAGCCAGGGCTGCTTACACAGAGAAACCCTGTGTTTTGAAAAACAAAAACAAGAACAAGAAAAAAAACAAAAACAAAACAAAAGGCAAATGAATGAGTCAAATTAATTACTTTTTAAAAGAACAAAAATACTTCGTTGCCACACATCCATCCCTCAATAAAGTAGTAAGAACAATCCTATTAAAGTGTAAGGCAGTGCCTTATAACTTTGGTCAAAATGCCAACAAAGGCCCTTAGCTTATTCATATCTGTGAAGACCTTGTCATCTAGCACCTATATCTCATCTCCCACAACTCCTCACTGTGACCTCTACTCTAGTCTCCCTGGCACTGGGATGCCCCACATGCTTGACAGAGAACACTTGACTTCATTATTCCACTTTCTCCCATCTTTACTCAAATACACTTCATGAACTATTATTATCTGGATATTTTGTAGAAATGGTAATAACCTTGTAACCTTAATTTAGCCTACAGTCTTTCCTAATTTCTTCTTGGTGTTTATCTCTACTTAATATGCTACTGACTCCCTTATATGTTGATATTTTTGATACCCTCATAATAAAGCAAATTTCACTTAAAAAAGTAGATTTCTTACAGGTAGGATTTTTTTTCCTTTAAAAGTAACCTATCTCTCTACTAATCTTTTTTAACTTGTTGCTGATCTTTCACATGAACAGTGTTTGCACACACTAGGTGTCCAATACATATTTGCATCTAGAAATATGAACACATGGTATAATTTTATTCAGGGTAAAACAGACAGGGGCAGAAGAATGCAAATCAATGCTGAGCCCACAGCCTTTGCAATGGCTCTGAAGCAGCAGGAACTAACGAAATCAGCAGACGACTCACATCACTACGGAGACATCTGGAAAGACCAAACTGGATGCTGCCCTGATTCTTTCTGCTGCTATTACAGAGATTTAAAACCAACTCCTAACTTTTCAGAATGTGGTATTCAAAAATGAAGGGAGAAAACCAAGGAAATAAACTGTTAAGAGCTTAAGAGTACCTGGCCAGAAAACCCAGCAGGGAGGAAACCCTGCTCTGAAGGCCATCAGCATAGAGCATGAATCAGATTTAAAAATGGTTATCATGAAAGAACACTTCATAAAACATACTGTAATTACTTTCACATATTCTAAATAACCAGCTCTACTTCTACTGGAGTATAATTAACATCTGAATATGGACTAATAGAAATTGTAGCTACGCTATGTCAAAAGCACATTACTGAGTGAAACAATTATAAGAACAGAGAAAATGTTGGAATGTCAAAATATGACCTTCCTCATAACTAAATTTCTTCCATGCAGTATTCAAAACTCAATCTTCACTGTCTCAGATAATTATACTAAAATTTTAAAGGAATGAGTGTGTGCCATTGGAAGTGAAGATTATGTCCTTCCATTCTTGCTGACAGGTTAGGGGATTGTACAAAGTTCTAGCAGTTCTAAACTTAGTAGTGCACAACAACTCAGATTAGAGCTAACCCATTACCCGCAGGATAAAAGAAATGATGCGGCTAGGTAGAATAGTAGCATCCTTGCTTGACTAGCACATAATACACTATACATAATTTGCTGTCATCTTAAGCATCCAACACTACAAGCATTGCAATAAGTCCCAGCTACAGCTGACTTCCCACTCAGCTGACCCTCCACCTCAATGATACCAAGGTTGAAACTGTACACTGAGTAACTGCTTTGCAGAGGAGATACTAAGATTTGTCAATTCTGCCTCAAGAAAGCAGTGAATGCTGGAAAAACTCAGCTCCAAGTTCTAAATAATTAAGTACCCATATTTTCACAGGTAATTCCACACAGTTATTTTAAACATTATGGAAGATAATTAAATGTTCCAGCATCGTCCTTCCATATGTATGGAGTGGCAAACAAGAAACCCCGAAAGGTACTACGCTGACAAAAGGTGAACAGCGCCCTGCCTCCACACCGCAGGGGCTCACACCCCAGACTGTCCCTGGCCTCCGGGGCGTCCGGGGGCCCCCCCGCGTCCCCTGACCTCCACACTCAATAGCAGGGGCTCACACCCTAGACTGTCCCTGACCTCCACACTCAATAGCAGGGGCTCACACCCTAGACTGTCCAACCCCCCCCCCCCCCCCCCACCCCCCCCCCCCCCCCCCACAAAAACCCGGGCCCCCCCCCCTGACTGTCCCTGACCTCCACACTCAATATACAGGAACACGCAAGGGGAAAATGACTTCCTTTCTGTGCTACTGAATTTATTTTATCTTACAGGCCTTTAAGTCTGGGGTGGCTTCATATCTGTTATGTGGGTGCTGGAAACCCAACTCTGGTACTCCCCAAGAGCAGTGAGTGCTCCTAACCCCCGAGCCACCGCTCTCACCTCACTAATCACTCTGAAACTCATCCACTAATCACTGAAAGCATCACATATGAGTAGATCACGTAAGGGGACACATGTAAGCAGTGTGCACTTCAGGGCGACAGATCACCTGCTCTAGAGGAACATGATTCACCAGTCCACTGATGACCGTCCTTGGGGTGGCTTCTCCCACATCCACCTCCTCTACATACAGCGAGTCGGCATCCGGGTGCTTTTTGGCAGTAATGATACAACCAACTCGAAGATCTAGACGAGAAACATCTATTGGCTTCGAGTCAGTATTTGCTGCTGCTGGCTGCTGCTTCTTCTCCTTTTTCTCTCCTAAGGATTAAGAATATGTAAGCATCAGAAATAAGACAGACAAACAAAAGCACCAGGAGAACCTCTGGGACCAGTGCCAATGAGTTCAAGAATAATAATAATAAAAAAAAAACTTCCTTTCCATCAAAAGGATACTCAAGTCATACAACCCACATAACCAGCCATTTCTCTAAATACTGTATTCTAAAACAAAACATTAGCACATTATTTTGATCATTCTATTTTATTATCATCACTGCTAATCTCTTATGCTGCCAAATCTCTAAGATCAGCTATGGATAGAGGGTTAGTACCACTGTATAACAAACATGTGTTAACATTAGATATACAAGGAACAGAGGCATGAAAAATGATCCTGCATGACACAGGAAAGGAGGATCCAGTGAAAAGATGTTCACCATTTATGCAGGTTGTTTACAAAAAAAGATACAGTAGTTTAAATATGGATCATTTTTAGTCTCACTTTTTCAATTATGGATCAAAGATTTTTATAATAAAATGAACAGATACATATTTAAAAAACACCAAAATCATGTTCTTTACACACAATTCACTATACTGCATTATAAACTATAACAATGTGCCTATATCCACAAATTTAATTTTAATGCTCAATAGCCATATTTAGATTTTGGTTACCCTGAGGAACAACATATAGTATATAACTGCCATCACAGAACTGATGGGAGAAGCACTGTTGGCCAATAGGAAAGCAAGATAAAGGAGATGAGGAGGAAAGAGGAAGTAGTAAGGAAGGAGTCAAGATGGAGAATCTGGAGAGAATAGAACCGCCAGCCGCCTCTCGCTGGTAAGACCACGTGGAAATATATAGAAATGGGTTAATAATTAAGACAGAGCTAGCCGATAAGAAACTAGTAACTGGCCAATAGCATAATATCAAATACAGAGTCTCGGTGTGTTAACTGGGGCCGGAGCAGCGGTGGGACAAGACCAGGCAGCGGGTGGAAAAACCCATACTCCTTACATATGGCGCCCACGTGGCTAATAAGAACTTCCACTTAAAATTTAACAAAAGCTTAAAAAGAGTTTTAGAAACAAAAGAACAGAGACAAGCAAGGTTTCTTGGTAGCAGCGTTTTTCTTGGTTGAACTCTGCATTGTGAGAGACAAGCAGATATTCGCACAGCTCCTTTAAGGGAGGATTCCTGAATCAGCATAAGCTGCAAATACCTTAAGGCTTTTAAATAACTCTGCTAACAATGTATTGGTGTGTATGAGAGATGGCAATGGCAGTGACCACATCTCCAAGCTGGCAGCATCCTTGCTGGATGGCAGCGCAGACAAAGGTGGTGACCACAGCTCTCAGTGCGGTGGTAATATAGCTGCCACCATGTTTGATAAACAGCTGCAGAAACAACTATGAATTTCATTTTAGCAATGTTGTTGTTTACCAGATAAAAGACTCGTGGCCAGAAAAAGATAAAGATTTATAGTAAAGACAGATTCATATTAAGAAAAACCTCTAAAAGTTTACAGTGTGTTTTAAAAAATACGTAGGCTTGGGAGAGAATAAAAAAATGGTTTTAAAAAGACAAAGAGGAGCTGGGTGTGGTGGCACACGCCTTTAATCCCAGTGCTCGGGAGATAGAGGCAAGCAGATCTTGTGATTTCAAAGTAAACCTGGTATGCAGAGTAAATTCCAGGACAGATAAGAGTTACACTGAGAAAACCTGTCCCAAAAAATAAAAACTAAAAGAAACAGAGTAATAATAAAGCCACCTAAAGATGAAAAGCTTAGAGAGAATCTGGTTACTGTATGGTGTTATATTGTCTGTGTATCTTTTGACTGCTGAGGAAATAACAACAACTGTTAAAACAAACGCTGCTGGATCAATGCAATTTATATATTTTAAAAATCTTTGACTCCAAAATTTAAGTCTAAGGACAAGTTACTGGGGAAAAGGATTTCTATTTTTGTTTCCATAGAAAATGAAAAGCTGTGGATTCCTTCCAGACTAATGTGGTTTGATCAAGCCAGACCCCCTGAAACGGCGTTCCTGGTGATCCAACATTCAAAACGGCTTGGACTAAGCAGCCTTGCTGACTACAGCCAGGATTTCTTCGTCTTCTTAGGATCCCCATGACAGCGCCCCTTACCAGCAGGAAGTAGTTTGGAAAGAACAACGCCCAAATTCCCAAATATTGTTTATAAATGTTTGTTTTCATTTAAATGGGGTTGGTTAATGACCACAACCAATCTTTTTAAAGGTAAAAAGGGGATTATGGTATAGATATGAATACTTTGTTTTGGAATGGATTTTCATTTATTGATACAATATAAGGTCAATTTTGTGATATCTATATTTCTCTTGTTTAGGTATTGTATTTATATAGCTCATTTAAAAATGTAATGTATAATTTAATGCAGACTATAGATAGTTACCTATAATAGTCAAAACTTATAGATAAGTTAGTTAGGTTTTCTAGATATACAGAGATGTATTTGAGATTAATAGGCATTCTTCAAACCTTTCAAAGACCTACAGAATATGGCATTTAAAATGGTTTAGGGTGTTCGTGACAGTGAGACATAATTGCTCTTGGCAACACCACCTGAGTCAGAAAGGAACATGGACATTGAAGAAACCTGTTATGAAGTTTGCTCCCAATATGGCAAGACTAGCCATTTGGACAAGATACTGCTCTTGTCTTGACTGTTTGACTTTGTGCTGTATAAACTGGACATGCAGGACCCACAGAGAAGTGACTCTGATTCAAGATGGACATTGTTACAGAGTTCCTGCTTCACGGAAGAGTCTGCCAGACAGTCTGCTGCACACAGAGAAAAGTGACTGACAAACTGCCAATACAAGAAGACAGTTTAAAGTTTCCTGCTTTACTGGAGAGTCTGCCAGACACACTACGGCCTATGGGCTGAAGATGGAAGATTACAGAAGAACTTCAGGTGACTGACAAGGCAAGATGTCTCTGTCATTTCTAGAGTTTATATACTATCCTTCTGTGGTCTTTGAAGGAGTTGAAGACAGATAGTTATGGTTATAGTTTTCCTTAGTTAGGCTTAAAGATAAGTTACATATAGGACTTTAGGCTCACAAATATAGGAGAGATGATAGAATAGTTTCTTTTAATCTTGCTAAATGTTAATGGACTAAATAGTGTTAACTGTGATTCTTATTTGATAACTGTTGTGTATATATTTTGCTATGTTAAGGTTAAAACCCTTCTTTTTATTTAGACAGAAAAGAGGAGATGATGGGAGATGTGATTCTGTAAATGTTTCTCATACTGGTTTAATGAATAAAGCACTGTTGGCCAATAGGAAAGCAAGATAGGTGGGACTAGGAGATGAGGAGGAAAGAGGAAGTAGTAAGTAAGGAGTCAAGATGGAAAGAATGGAGAAAAGAGAAACGCCATTCCTCCACTTTCAGTAAGACCACGTGGAAATACATAGAAATGAGTTAATAATTAAGACAGAGCTAGCCGATAAGAAACAAGAAACAGGCCAACAGCATAATATCAAATACAGAGTCTCTGTGCATTAATTGGGGCTGGTGCGGCGGTGGGACAAGATCAGGCAGCAGGTGGAAAAACCGTACTCCTTACACAGAACGATTTACTGGACACAGTACAACTGAGTTTTGTGTTCTTGTCTCTAGGACTGCTGCCTAAACTGACTAAAAGTTGGTTAGTCATAGTATTAGATTAATAGTTAGATGATAAAGTAATAAGTAAACAAAATCTGTAAGGTCAAGAAGCCATAGGATTATTTTATATCTCTGTGCTGACTGGCTTTCACTGGCCCTTCAGACTTCTGACAAAGCCTAATGGTATCTGCCAAAGGAACCAAAAAAGTATTGGATGTGAAGATGCTTTTATGTCAGGTCAAAAGCCCTTAGACATTTTGAATTTTCCAAAAAACTGTAAATGAGTGTTAAGTACGCTGTAAGCATATAAAGGAATGGATCATAAAGCATATTTATAGACAAAGCTAGGGAATGAAGTCAGATGCTTACTAGAAAAGTTGCTTCGATAGCAACTTATAAGGGTAAAAGAAGGAATCTTAAAAACCTGAACCAATGTAGCACCTCACAGACCAGGAGCATAGCTAAAGCTGGACGTACGTACTTAGTGACAGAATTACAGAATTCGTTGGCTGACTGGATCTGAAGACTGAAGGAAAGGGATAGGTATGGCCGCCCGCACTGTTTTAGCACACTGCCCAACAGACAGATTTCTTTGCCATGTTCTTTTTATCAGTCCCTTAACATCCCCATGCCTCAGTGCAGACGACTAGATGTCACGTCCATTTTTCCTAAATGACTGTAAACCAACTTTAACCTCTGACTTCTTTGGAACAAAGGTCCAAATATACACTGAAGTTTTAGTCATCTATCTTTTGATGTTTTTATTTATGCTGATCCCTCTACATAACTTAAGTCACTTTTACCCCATCAATGTTGTCAACATTCACACACTCTTTGGGATTCAATTTCTATATCCTAGTGAGACTGTTCTCAATTTTGTCTTAGCCCCTAAAAGTTTGGACTTTCTTTTTGATACCATTATTATCATAAATATTAATATTGTCTAATAAAACAGTTAAAGGTCAAACAAGATTAATAATGGAAAATACCTTTCTTATCAGTTTTCTCTTTGACCTTCTTTTCTTCTTCCCCTCCTTTAATCTGTTCTTTTACACTAGAAGAGATGGTTGATACAGATGTAGACTGTGTTACACTTGTAGAATCTGCGGAGGTAGCTTGCAGGGGAGTATCAGATGGGACTGGAATTTGCTTCACTGACATACAGAAAAAGAAAAGAGTGTCTCTCAGGTTCAACTTATAAACAAGGTGGAACAATAGGTTTGTAAGTCACAAATATGAACCATTTTATCTACTTATTTGTTTGTTTGTTTATTTATTGGTTTTTGGAGCCAGGGTTTCTCTGTATTGCTTTGGAGCCTGTCCTGGAACTCGATCTGTAGACCAGGCTGGCCTTGAACTCACAGAGATCGTCCTGCCTCTGCCTCCTGAGTGCTGGGATTAAAGGCATGCGCCACAAATGCCTGGCTCACAAATATGAACCATTTTTAAGAGGAAAATCTAATACAGAAGGCTATCAAGTATCCATTATCTGAGGCTATAGAAAGGATATCAAAAATTAAATATACTTTAACAATTACTAAGGCCACAAAAATTTTCATTTCAATTTATTCATTAGCAACTAAAGAATGCAGATAACATTGGCACCTAACATTCATCATGCACATACTATATATTAAATACTGTCCACACCTCCTGTGATTCTCCTAGACTTCCTAAGTAGATTTTATTCCACATCACTCTTTTACTGATAATAAATCTGAGCCATCTACAAATCAATAATCTGTTCACTGGCAGTGAACAGAGACACAGCATTATCTGTGTATATATTTCTATGTAAAAGGAAAAAAGACAACTGTTTATAGACAGGGCTAGAGAGATGGCTCAATAGTTAAGAGCATTATTTATAGAGGCAAAGCACATTAGCAATTCTTTAAAATATTAAGAACAACATATGTATCACCAGAGAACATGGAAAAGTATATTTCACTTTCACGAGGGGTTGTAAAGTGGGCTGGAGTAATTTTCTAGCATTGAGAGAAATGAAAAGCAGTTTTAGACTTATAAAACCTTATCTGTTTAATTCTGTGGCTGTATTCTTACTTCTTTAGCTGCATTCCAAATCTACCAGTCTTAGAAAATAACAACCAATCTCACATTTTCCACTGACAAATGATACATAGCTGACCGCTGTACAAGCATATAAATGTATGTATTGGCTTGAATAGGAACGGCCCCCACAGACTCATGTGTTTGAAGGCTTGGCCCATAGGAAGTGGCACTGTTAGCTGAATACTAGCTTTACCACCTTCTGTGACCTCAGGTAAGATCAACTGCCTTTTCTTCGTCTACTATTTTTTCCCCTGCAGAGGAGGGGGAATGTATGGTGGGTGTGATATGAGGATAAGAAGATAAAGAGAAAACTTAATAAATTCTGCAATCATAAATCAAGCATCCTAGAATTTCTATGCTCACCTCCATTCTGAATCTCTGCCTGGATTAGCTCCTGCTTTAGTTCTTCTATCTCTTTTTTCAGTTTAGCATTTTCAACTCGAAGTTTCTTTTCTTCTCTCAAAGTTGCCTGCAAAACTAGAATTAAGAAAATTCATTTAAACATTATTTTCAAATGTTGTATTTGAATATTATTTGAAAAGAGCATAGTTAAGTATAATTATAGCCATGCAACAATAGGAACAAATATTTGGCCAGTTGCTTTATGAAGATTTACTATTTACTTATATTATTAACAATCTCCTAGTAATCACTGGGAAATTGGTGTAAGAGTCCTACAGAATTTAATCTCTAATCTATACATTTAGTGCACACTTCCTCCCCCATTCATATATCTGATTCGCATTCATTAACTGAAGAGAAAAAAATGTATAAAAAGTGGGACAGAAAGTTACCTGCATATGTGTGTGCGTGTATGTATGTGTATGCATGTGTGTGGGTACGCATGTGTATATATGTGTGTGTATGTATGCATGTGTGCGCGCGCGTGAGTGCGTGTATATATATGTGTGTATGCGTGTGTGTACATGTATATAAATGTGTGTATGCATGTGCGTGCATATATGTGTGTATGCATGTGCATACATGTGTGTATGTATGTTCTTAGCAGAAGTAGAACTATCCCCTACATGGGATTATTTTGGGTTGCCACAATAATGGAAATTATTTCTGTAATTTATTAGGCAGGAGCTAAGGATTTGAGAGGTTCAAGCAGACTTTCTTCCCCCACCCCTTTTTTGTTTTTCAAAACAGGGGTTCTCTATGTAATAGTTCTGGCTGTCCTAGAACTTACTCTGTAGACCAAGCTGCCCTTGACCTCAGAGATCTGCCTGCCTCTGCCTCCTGAGTTCTGGGATCAAAGGCATGCACCACCACCGCCCAACTCCAGTTGGACTTTGCTGTATGCAATTGTATATTTATACATGTAAACCACATAAATAGTTATTTTAGGCTGGACCCTAGCTACCACATATACAAACAATGTATTTTAAAACATTTTTGTTACATCTTGAATTTTTAGGACTCAAGTACCAGAAAATGTACACTGTGCTTTCTCTTTCACTGAAGGCTTGATGTAAAGACTCATCCATTCATCCTTTTCCTCTTTTATGGTAGGATCAAATTCAAGGCCCCAAATATGTATTATACGGGCTACCACCCAGTCACACCCTAGCCTATATTCTTTATTTTTAGAGTAAATCAAATACAAAACCACATCTGGCACGAGATATTAAGCAAAGGCAGACTAAATATATACCTCAAATTAGCTGACACCATTCTGGGGGTTCTATGTGTGTTAACCATGCAGCACACGGTGCCCCGCCCTGCGAGTACGCGATATGATGCTGAGATACTTTTCATTGAAATATACATTACTTAGAAATTCCTTTTCTCTTACATATATGCTTGTTATGACTTAAACCTTTAAGTTAAAGATGGCTATATTATTAAAAATGTTTCTTTAAGAAATTTAAAAGAAAATTTTATAAAGTATTATAACGTGGGGTATAAGCTAGGAATGACAGGATTAGAGTACAAAGAAAAATGAAAGTACATAACGAGAATGATTCTTTACTTTTTAATTAGAAACACTGAAATGTTGTCAAGTCTCTAGGAAATAGTCTTGATTTGTTTGTTTGTTTGTTTTTGATACAAGGTTTCTGTGTAGCCCTGGCTGTCCTAGAACTCACTCTGTAGCAGAAGGCTGACCTGTCATACTGCCTCTGCCTCCTGACTGCTGGGATTAAGGCATGCACCACCATCTGGCATGAAATGCCACTGTGATGCAGAATAGAAATGTTCCCCATAGACTCTTGCTTGACCCATAGAGAACAGCACCAACAGCACTGTTGGAGTAGGTGTGATCTTGGTAGAGGAAATGTGTCATGTGGAGGCAGGCTATCAGGCAAGTTAGGCCTAGTGTGACAATCTACTCCTACAGAACCCACAGTTCCTTCTCTAGCATCACTGCCTGCCTGCCACCATGATGATAACGGACTAAATCTCTCAAACTGTAAGCCAGCCCCAATTAGCCGTTCTTCTTTATAAGAACTGCCATGATCATGGTTGTTATGAGTAAGGTTTTCCCGCCGGTCTGGACATGACATGCTTCGAAGAGCAAGGGTACTGCTTGCCATGTGCAGAGGGGTGATGCATTGTGTCAGATTCCTAAGGAGCGGGGCTAAGCTGTGCCTGGATGCTAACTATACCTACTAAGGAAAGCTGCTAACAGGGAATTGAACCATCCCAAATGACAGAATTGTGTTGCAGTCAACAAAACTTAAAAGGACTTGGAGAGGTGACAAGTGTTTTGATATCAGACATGATGATGCAGAGTTTAAAGTGTGCCCAGCAGGGTTTTGATCTTGCTTTGGTCCAGTACTGCCTTATTATGCTCCTTTTGGAATGGTAATTTCCTGTGCCATTAGAAGTGATTTGCTTTTTGATTTTATAGGGAATTACAGTTACTGCCTCGGTTAGTTTTTTGTCTAAACTTGACACAAGTTAAGCCAGGTGTTGGCAACAAATGCCTTTTATCCCAGCACTCAGGAGGCACAGGCAGGTCGATCTCTTTGAGTCTGTGGCCCGCCTGATCTATAGAGTGAGTTCCAGGACAGCCAGGGTTGTTACAAAGAGAAACCCTGTGTCAAAACAAACAAACAAACAAACAAACAAAAAGCAGGAAAGAATAACTTTTAAAAATGGAACTTCAATTGAGAAAAGCCTCCTCTGACTGGACTGTGGGAATTTTCTGGACTAATGATTAGTGTGGGAGAGCCAAACGCCTGACCAAGGGTGGTGCCTCCCCTGGGCAGATGGTCCTGGTTGTTCAAGAAAACAATTAAGCAAGTGATGGAAATCAAGTCAATAAGCAGTGTTCTCATGGCCTCTGCTTCGGATCCTGCCTCCTCCCTTCCTGATAGAGGAGATACTAGCTGCAAACGGACATAAACCCTTTCCTAATCAAGTCACTTTTGGTGTTTTATCATAACAAAGCAAATCATGACATTTACTATATATCAACTCTAATTTATCATAATCCTAGAATACTTTTAAAGTCAAAATTAAAGGATGCTAAAAGCCATAATAAGAATGATCAAGTTACAATTTACATAGTAAACATTTAACTGTCATTATTAGAATTTAGGTATTTCCCTAGAAGATGTAAATGTTCTTACCTGCTTTCTCCTTGAGAAGAGCCACCTGCTGCTTGAGATACTCAATGATCTGGTCCGCCTCTGCGCCCTTCTGCTCTAGCCTCTTCAGAACAGCATCGTTGGTTGCCATCTTTGCCCAGAATCGGCAGAAAATCCTAAATCAAAAACGACAGTAATGAACATACTGTGGAAGGAAAGCACACACTTATTTTACAGGAGACGGAGGAAGCAACCGAGGGGAAACATTTTCTCCTATAATCGGTACCTTCATCACGCTTCCTATGGAGAACAAAAGCAGCAGGGCCTGGGAGATGGTTCAGTGGTCAAAGTGACAGTCACACAAACAAGAGGACCCATGTACAAGCTTGTAGACAGAGCAGCCACCTGTAATCCTAGCCTTGTAAAGAGGCAGGAGATACCCTAGGAAATCTGTCCCGCACAAGCCTTACCTGTAGAATCACATGTACTCACATGCTCATACACCACATTTACACACACAAAAACAGGAAGAAAAAAAAAAAAAAAGGACAGAAATGTTAAGCTAATGCCTATATCTGTTTGGAAGAGTAATGTACTTTAAAATGTACTTTGTCCTTCAGTGCAGAAAATAAATGCAATTTAACCAGATTTAAGGCTGGAAAATTTTAGAGCCTTAAATGCTGTACAGTACCATAAAATGAGCTCGGTCCCCTATACTATAGGAAGAGGACACAGTAACATTCGCTGAGCTAGTGAGTACACGCCTGTGTTCTAAAGCAATCCGACTGCCAATTTCCTCCCTCCTCTAGCTGCACTTTTCCTATACTGGATATGTTCACTATTTGTCGAGTTGTGTGCACTAAAAAATTTTCCAGACAAGTGTGAAAAAGAAAAATTAATTATTAAATGGTAAAACTCAAAAGTTAGGGAAAATATCAACCAGAGATAGATAGATAGGTAGATAGAATTTGAGGGTCATGACCACTCCATTACCATGGGGAAGGATTTTACTAAGAATATGAGACAAAGTATCTGGGAGCACCTGGAGGAGTCCAGAGTAGAGGGAGAGTAGACTGGCCAGGGTCAAGGAAGCAGGAGAGAAAAGGGGAGAGTAAGGTTGACATCGAGATAGCAAAAGATAGAGAATAAAGCATACTGAGAGAGAAAGAGGACAGACAGCAAAAGATGAAGCGTGTGTGCCTGGGGGTGGACAAATAATGTAGATTATAAACAGGATTAGGAGCTGATGGGAGATGTCATTCTGTATATGTTTTTCATACTGGTTAATGAATAAAGCACTGTTGGCCAATAGGAAAGCAAGATAGGCGGGGCTAGGAGACAAGGAGGATTGGAGGAAGTAGTGAGGAGGAGTCAGGATGGAGAGTCTGGAGAAAGCAGAATGCGGGCCGGCTCCTCGGTAAGAGAAATACATAGATCAGCAGAAATGGGTTAATACTTAAGACAGAGTTAGCCGATAAGAAACTAGTACCTGGCCAACAGAATTATATCAAATACAGAGTCTCAGTGTGTTAATTGGGGCTGGCGCTGCGGCGGGACAAGACCGGCGGCAGGAGGAAAAACCATACTCCTTACAAGGAGCTGAGCAGAGCGAAGGGCAATGCTAGCATGGACTTTGACACTGAGGGAACCTGGAGGCCAGCATGCACTTTAATACACTGATAGACTCCACAGGTAGCCATATGTTCCTTTTGCAAGAAGTTGAGCAAAATGACAACTTGTGGCAGATGGGACACTTCACAAGTTCCTGAAGAATACAGGCTTTTACCCAACATTTCTTTATTACGCCAGAGATCCTCCTATAGACTAACTTGAGCTCACTTGATATATGGACTACCCTACTGAGACCTAACAATGACCTTTGTAACATATTTAGAATTTTTACAATTATTTTACATTTTTTTATTTATTTGTAATCTACAAATACAATTACAAATAAATGCAAAGAAAAATAATTCTGTTTAGTGCAGTAAAATGCATGTAACAGAGCATTCTAAGATGAACTCAGTGTTAAACTGGCTGCTGTTAAGATGCATGCACTCAGAACTAAGCACTATTAACAGTAAGTTATCCTTATTTACCTGATTCACTTCTAATTTCTAGTTAAAAAATAAAACGACAAAAGCATTACAGAAATAATCCTGATTTTCAATGAATGAAACCACACTAAATGATTTTATAATAAAAACTGTTCAACAAGTAACACATGACTGCTTTAAAATGTCAAATGACCATTAAATACCAACCCTACATTATAAATGTTCAAAATGTTTACATTTTTATAAGAAAAATCAACCTCCCGAATACCCTAAGATTAACAATATATGATGGGGCAATGAAAAACCCAAAATAAGATGCTATAAAACAAGTTGATAATAACAAAATATACAAACAAGAATTTAATATGGAAAAGCAACAGTAATCAGAATGTTCTCTACAAGCTCTTATTTTAGCCATTAAAAACAGACAAAAATGTACATAAATTCAAAATAAGGATAGCCCTTTCATTCTTCCATTTTAAGAAAAATAAACACAATACAAGGTCATTTCTCAAATATTTGCAGAGTTGGGGTCTCAGAGGAAAAAGGAAATGGATATATGAAGTTGAGGGGAAGTGATAATACTCTCAAGTTCAGTTTATTAATTTACGACAATCTTTTACTTTTCCACTTTAGTCTACTGTCCTACTGTGAGGAGACACGGTGATCAGGGAAACTCGTAAAGAAAACATTTAAGTTCTACACCTGGGTCAGCAGGCAGCAAGAGACACCGACCTGGCAAGAGCATTTGAAACCCATCCCCAGTGACACCCTCCCTCCAACGAGGGCACACATAGTACCGCCACTCCCTGTGACCACACACTGAAATACAAGCGTCTATGGGGGCATTCCTATTCAAACCACACTGACCATAACAATCAAATAATATAACTCAGTAAACGCAGCCTTCAAGCTGCTAACACATAGCAATGAGCACTTGAGCACAGGGATAGTGTGCTATTGTCACTCCTCACACATAATAAAAATGTACTGCGACAGTAACAGACAAGCCTATTCTTTGCCCCTGTGACACACAACAGCTGAGTGATCTTGAACAATTTGTTTAACCACTGAGGTTCGCCATTATAAGAGAGGTGTGTGTGTGTCTGCATGTGTGTATCATCATGCTGATAAAAGGCAAAATGGCATAAATAATACTAATTAAGATTTTTGGTGCATGGAAGAAAAATGGTGGCTAAACCCACCATATGTAGGGCACAGAGAAAATTTCCTAGAACACACCAAAAAAAGGTATCCAGACAATCTTTTATATTTTTTGTTGTCAGCCTAGCCTTTACCCGCTGAGCCATCTCTCCAGCCCTCCAGACAATCTACACCTTCACGAAAACTAGGACACAGTGGGCTGCTTAGTGTTATTTTTTTTTCTAGTCCTCTAGTTACTGTTAATATGTTTTTCTGAAGAGTTCAGGTCAAAAATAGTGAAAATGTAACTTCCAGACTGATAGAATTTGCCTCTGCCCTTGTCAATCTGTTAAGTTATCCCTGCACTAGTTCAGGCAGGGAGCTTAACTTACCTGAGTTGTCCTGGCCTTAGTAATACAAGGAAGCCACTTGAAAACCTTTGCATACTTAACTGCAAACAGGAATTGCCTTTTGACTGTGGAGACTAGAAAGATCTGAACTTACCGAGCAAACTACTGGAGAGGGGAAACTGGACTGAATCAAACAGAAGAGACTGCAATCTGAACTTGTGTAGCAAGATGCTATCCCTGGGTAGGTGGTCCTGAGCTGTGTAAGAAAACCAGCTCAATGAAGAACAGGGGAGGAGCTAGTGAGGTATTAGTCCTCCCAAGTCTCTGCCTCCTGTTCCTACCATTCCTATAGTTCCTAACGGGAGGTCTATCTCTGACTTCACTGCTACTTGAAAGGGGAGCAAAAACAAACCTTCCTTGTCCAGGCTGCTTTTGGTCAATGTTTTGTCACAGCCAGATAGTGTTTCCCGTTAGTGTTTACTAGCAATATGCAGCATCGAAAGAAAAATACAATTCTTAGAAAAGGTGGCCACAGTCCACAAACCTTAAGCGAAAAATACACTTAACAGACTATGTGTCCAACTTCTCCCTGTCTCACTTTATTAACTTATATTAGGATCCTTTCACCTGCTTTCTTGCCCCTACATGGGGCCTTTTCTTCACCTGCTGCCTGAACACCGTGGATCAGTTCGGTATACTTTCCAAAAAGTGTGTTTAGAGCTTTTAATATGCTAATATGTACTACCTTCCTCACAGATGATAATACCTATAGAGGATTTAGTACAGAAAACAACTAGACTTACAATTATTTGCCCAGGTAGTATAGTTATTTAGGAAATGAGGATTGAAACCCCAAGTTGGCTGATGCTGGAGCTAACTCTTTTAATGAGCATACTGCAATGTCTGTAATATCTCCAAGCATAATTATCAAGCATTTTCCAACCTAATTAATGATGGAACCTGAAGGGAACAGCATCCACTAGCATTTATTGGAAGTTGTATTGTCTAGATGGTTTGAGAGACACTTATTCTCTATGGCAATTTGTTAAAAAATATGAGCTTAAGATATATTTAACACTTAACTGTATGAACAATCCACACACACATAAGAACTTTGTGGAGAAAAAGGGCAGAGAAGGCAAAGCATCAAATATATTTTTGTACTTTACTGATGAAAACAAAGACCTGTTTTTTTTTTTACTAATAATAAAAAAATTGGAAAGGCATTATGTAAATTGTTTCATGACATTAATTTTGTCCTAACCTGTGATCACATTTCATGAAACACAGTTAGCAATTAAACATATGATGCTCCTTACACAATACCAAACACATGACTTTACAGCACACATCAAAGAGAAGAGAAAACACAACATAAGCTATGACTTTTAGAGATTCCTATCTTTGCTGTATTTTTCATCACCTGGGCATCTCCTTAGTTGAAATTCATACTTCACCCAAGCTGCCTGTGATTTCTTTTAACTACCAACTACTCTGGCATCAAGTTCTAAAAGTTAGAAAACCATTTTTTTTTAAACAAAAGTTAATGGAAATGAAAGATTTATGTGCACTTTTAATTTTACTTTATAGCATAAGAGTTGTACACAAATCTGGAAATGCCCCTCTAATTCTCTCCAATTCCTAATTTCATTATTTCAGACTCACAGTGATGTAAAACCACACACAACTTTCTTAGATATATTACTTCTCAGTACTCAATTCCACACATCTACAAATGCCGTCAAGTATAAAATGGCTCCATAAGATGCTCTATTGTTGTGATTTCACTTATACATACAGCAACAGCATACACAGGTGAAATCCCTTTACACATAGATGGTAGGTTCCAATGTTCTTTATCCCTTCCTTAGACACATTTTGATGGTTAATGTTGGATCTCAACCTGACCACATCTGGAATTAATTATAATCAGCTGGGTAAACTTGTGAAGAATTTTTTTTAATGAAATCATCAGAAGTGGGAAGATCCACCTTTAATTTGGGTCACACCTGCTGGCAGCCTACGTTAGGACATAGAAGAAGGAAGCTTGCTCTCTCTGTCTGATTGTTCTCACTAGGCAAATCCATTCCCTCATTGGCATTAGAGCCTGTTTTTCTTTGGAATTCTGTTGTACACTTAAGGTCAGCTGAAACATTCAGCATCATGCACCGAACAACTACTAGATTCTTGGACCCTCCATTGGCCACCGTCTGTAAGCCATTCTAATATGTTTCAAATGAATTTATATTTACTGAAAAACATTCTTACTTTATATTACTACTTAGTTTTCTTGTATTTCTGAATACACAGTAACTTCATTTTAATTCTGAATCATAATCACCAAAAATATACATAAAATAGAAATTATGCAAGGCTGGAGAGATGGCTCAGAGGTTAAGAGCCCTGTTTGCTCTTGCAGAGGTCCTGAGTTTAATTCCCAGCAACCACATAGTGGCTCACAACCATCTGTAATGAGATCTGGTGCCGTCTTCTGGTGTGCAAGGAAGGGTACATGCAAGCAGAACACCACATAATAAATCTTTAAAAAAAATTATGTACAGTAGCTACATACCAACATGACACACAACAGAACTAATGTCAACAATAACACTTATGATGAATTATTCATAAAGGACACAATGAAAACTATGTCACCAGTTAGTGATCTTAAGATGTTAATAAGATTAAAATACATCCCAATTAAAGATACATAATGTGAGGAAAAAAGTGTTTCAATACTAATAGTAATCATACAATCATAGCAGTATGTTATTTTCTTTTGTTCACTTTAGCCTTAATTATACCTTCCATCCGCCAGTTGCTTCATAATCTAATTGCAAAGTTATTGGACTCTGACAGAAACATGGTACAGTACCTATAGATTTTGAAATTTCTCGTATTAACACAATGTATCAAAAGTCAGAATTTAAAGATAAGTACTACAATTAAATATAATGAGAACAATATACTTCAGAAACAAACTATATTCAGCAATTAGCATCAATCCCACAGGTAATTTTTGTTTTGTTCCTTTTTTGAGACAAGGTTTCTCTGTGTAGCTTTGGAGCCTGTCCTGGAACACACTCTGTAGAACAGGATGGCCTGGTCCACCTGGCTCTGCCTCCTGAGTGCTGGGATTAAGGTGTGAGCCACCACACCAAGCTTCAACCACACCATCTCATCTACTTCTAATTCAAGAGTGCAGTAAGACACTACTTTAATGGAAGACATCACCTACATCTGATATTCAATCTTTACCTTGTGAAGACATCATCTTGACTTTATACACTTGGGAGAAATCGCATGCCTTGTCTAGATTCCTTCAAGTATCAAATGGCAAAACCACGATCTTAACTTACGGTCATCATTCTGAAATTTACAGTTCATTTAAAGTGTTTCCGAAAGCCTACTTAGTGAAAGTAAACCGCCATTCATAGTTCCTTTGTGTATGTTCCCTGGATACCCCCAAAATATAACTGGACACATCTTAGTACCTGTCTTGAAGTTAGTTTCCTTTGAGGATAAACAAAAGCCTCCTAATTTCCTTTCTTACTTCTCATTGGGCTACTAGAATCCTTCCAGTGCCCCCCCACCCACTTCACCCGATAATCAGCCTGATGTCTCTCATACTGTTTGCATCTTTGATTCCTTCTCTCAATTCGGAGCCCCGAACCTTCCCTGATATTTTGCTAAGTTTCTATTTCATGGACTTTGGGATGGCTGGGCCTTCTGACTGATGGCATTTCCTCATCCTCTTCCTAGAAAGCCGTCTTTTCCTTGAATACCTTCTTCTTTGGCCACATTAGTGCCAAATAACGAACCTTTCTTTGCTGTCAGTACAGCACTGATCAGCACTTACAATCTGAAATATGGTATGGGGGCTGGAGTTAAAGGCGCTTACTGCTGTTGCTGGGAACCCAGGCTCAGTTCCCAGCACTCACATCAGGGACTCTCAATTACTGGTAACCCAGTTCCAGGGGATCTGGTGCTGTCTAGCCTCCATGGTCACCTGCACAGAAACTTAGTCAAGCAGGCACACACACCCATTAACTAAGTCAATATTAATAACTTACCTTTAAGGCTGTACTTCAACAATAAAACCTAAGCTGAAAGGCAGTAACTGGACCTGCTATCCGTTCTGTTGGTTTTTCTTTGTACTCTGTTTATGAATTTTTACCTAATGACTAAAACGTTGCCTGGAGTGTGGTGATAGCTGGCGTTTCTAGTACTTGCTGAATCCATCAATTTCTGTAACATCTCGCCACGAACAAACACTGGAAATCCTTTGCACACTCACTTAAAAGTAAACAAGCCCATGAATCCATCCCTGCCTCCTGTAGCATGCTTTCCCTCAGCCAGGTATTATCTATTCACTTCCCAAACTTAGGTGAGTCAGAAGAGGCCAAGCTTGTCCTGCTTTGTCGTGCACGCGGGTGAGGGTATGGCCACGCTTCCTCCTAGTACTCGGAAGGGCAGGTTCTCCTTCCCCGGTAGGAAAGGGAAGCACAACTTCAGATCGCACCCAATCTACCCCAGGCCCTGTGGTGACACTCACATGAAGCGGCGAAGCGCAGCTTCCGAGCAGCCTCAGCCGGGCACAGGAAGAGACGGAATCCGCAGTCCGTGGCGGGGGAAGTGAGGGGGGGGAGAAGGACCCAGGGGCTGTCCCTGACGAATGCCGGAAAATTTCCCAGCTCCTCCCCCACGTCAGCCGTCCGCTTCCTGCGCCCGTCCTCTCCTCGGGCCACACCACGCTCTCATTTTCCATTCCCCCCTCCAAGCCCCCCCTCATCTCTCTCTCGCTCGCTACATTTCGCTGTCTGTTTGGGCAAAGGACAGGCGGCCGGAAGTTGCCGGGGGTGGGGGGGTGGGGGGTCCTTTCCTCGGGCTTGCGTCTCGAGGCCGTGACGTCATGAGTAGTGGCCGAAACCCGAGGCGGCGGACGGGGAGGGGCTGCTGGGCGCTGACGGGGGCGCGCGGCGCGCGCTCGGGGCCAGGTTCTGAGCTGCGAACCCGGGGCCGGGCGGCCGCTCTCCCCGGCTGTCACCTCCCGTCAGCCGCCCCTTGCAGACGCGCTTGAAATGCAGGACGCGGGCCACTAAGTAGCGCCGCCGGGCACAGCCACGGCGCGCGTAGGAGCTCAGCCCCCTACTCTCTGCGCCCCCAGGCGCAGGCAGGTACTCCGGGGTCCCCGCCTTCTGCCTGGCAGCGGGTGGGGCCGGTGGGACGCAGGACGGCCGGGTGCACGGAGCGGGCCGGCGCTGCTGCCCGCCTCTCCGAAATTCCTTCCCCGCGGAAGCACGCGCTCGCTTGCTTTGCCATGCAAATGCGATGTGACTGCACGTAAAACGAGCCCCGCTCCTCCCAGTTTTTGACACTTCCCGCCCACTTAAGCCCGTTCCATCTATCTCCGAGCCCTTTCGGAGTTTGTCTTGTGCCTTGCTCGTTGAAACTGTGTGACTTGTTTGTGGTCCTCAAGCAGCTACAGACTCATCAGACTTAGCCGGGGAGTTTCAAGTTCCTTCCCTCGTTTGGACATAATTGTATCCGTGGTGGCACTAATGGTGTAACCTTTTTGTCATAGAGAGCACAGATTCACTTGAATTGTCAAAATGGTGCCCAAACCAGATTGAGGCAATCTGGAGTTTCTCTCCTGGTTGGCCATCGGGTACTTGTGGCTATGGGTACCTGGCTTTTAAGTCTTGAGTGTGAATGGCATCTGTATGCAAACAGCTATCACTAATTAGCTGGTGTGGTCTGGCAAATAGAGCTATCACAATACCTGGTGTAGTCTAGAGACACCTGCATTTCCCTCTGTTGCACCTTTACTTATACTTCCCACGGTTGATTATAGACCCTAAGTGGATAGTTTGTCTTATGTGTTGAAAGCAAATGTTCACAGGAGAAGGGATTTATCATTATTTCTCAGTACAGACCCATGCAGTGTGCCAGATCACATTTTCCTTTTGTTTTAATACCATGGCTCTGGCTCCATGAGCATTTTTGTAATACCGAACCTAATTCAGTTCTTTCTTTCCAATAGTTAAGTGTGCTTGATTTTGTAGCATACTTTGTAGCACGTTTGGACATACTTTTAACCTTTGCCTTTTGTTTTGTTTTGTTTTTTGAGACAGGGTTTCTCTGTATTGCTTTGGAGCCTGTCCTGGAACTAGCTCTGTAAACCAGGCTGGCTTCGAACTCACAGAGATCCTGCCTGCCTCCTGTGTGCTGAGATTAAAGGTGTGCGCCACAGCCACCCAGCACCTATAAGCTCCCTTACTTTATTGTTTGCCTTTCAGTTTCTCTTTGGAGAAAGGGTACATGCCCTTTCTTCAGCAAGTTTTCTAATCTTTTCTATGGCATATATAGAGGTCCCATTCCATACTTCTGCTTGAAGGTATTTCTCTTAGAATTCAATGGTTTTTTGCTTAAGCAAATAGTGCCTTACTATTTCTGGACACTATCCATTTTGGGTTTATTCTTACTAAAGTCCTGTGTAAATTGTCTTGTATACATATGTTGTTTGTTCCCTCTGTTTTATTAAATTACATCCTAGAAAAATGTGCTTGTAATAGGTGTGTAGGTGATGCTTCTTGTATGGCAACTTGAACTGTTTGGTAGTGCCTTTGTGTGGATGATATTTTTAAATAGCTACATGAGTGTAAGTTATTGATTTTTACTATATTATAGCTATAAAGTCTAGTGCAACATTACTGCATAATTTCTTGATTACCAAGAAATCTGTTTATGAATCTGTTGGCCATTTTTCTATGAAGTGTTATTTTCTGTTCTCTTGCATTTCTTAATGGATGTAATGTTCTCAAATCTCTCTAGATATATTTGAAATTTGTTTCATTTCTCACTCATTTCTTTGTTTTTATCCTGTAGTCTCTTCTAAACTACCCAATGATTCTCATAAGTTCAGTGTTTAGGAGTTAAGGTTGGCTATCTGGTGTTTCATGTGTATGCAGAAGATTGTTGACTGAATGGGGTGTTAAAAATTCCAGAATGGAGAATCCCCCTTTTTTCTCTTTCCTAGCGTTATCCCTCTCTTCCCAGTGTGTATGGCAGGTAGACTTTAGTTTCATTTCATTTACTTGACTTAACTTCCATTTCCCTTTCCTCCCCCCCCCACTTTCTTATCTGTTTTTCTTTTACATAGAAAATAAATGGCTCTCTGTGTCTACTGCGGAGCTGATAGCCAAACTGACTGCTCTAATATTTCAGTATTTCTCATCACCGTTCCAGTTCAGCCTTTCTTTTGACTGCTGCTTAGCATTGTTCAGGCTCTCAAAGGCAAAGCCCCAAATCTGAAGAGGCCAAGCTGACCTCTAACTGTTCCACACTGTCCTTGCTTCTGTCTTTGTGGTGGTGCTTTTGTACACACTTTACTTTGTCATCATTTCCTGAAGTCCTTACACTAGTAGGATAGTAGGTTAGTGAAGCTTTAGGGAAAAGAGGAACTTCACTAATTCGAAAATGTAGAACCTGATTTCCTCTACCCTTAAAAGTCAAGGATGTTGCTATGCACACGGCTGTATGTAAGTACTGGGGAGGTAAAGGCAGGCACATTAGAAGTTCAAGGGTAGTGAGGAGAGGCCAGCCTGGGATAGATGAGAATCCTGTATCCAAAACAAAACAACAACAACAACAAAGCAAGAAAACAAAACACACCCCTCCTCAATTGCAGGTATATAATTTGGAAATCTTCTATCTTTTTGTTTCCTTGTTTCCTTTTCTTTATTGTTTATTCTTCTCTCATATATTACACTCCTGACCATGGTTTCCCCTCTTGCCTCTCCTCCCAGTCCCTGCTCTCTTCCTCCTTTCTATTCAGAAAAGGGCAGGCCTCCCAGGTATATCAACCAAAACTGCATGTCAAGCACATCCCCTCATTGAGGCTGGATGAGGCAACCTAATAGAAGGAAAAGAGCCCCAAGAGCAGGCAAAAGATCAGAGTTAGCCCCAGCTCCCACTGTTAGGAGACCCACAAGAACACCAATTTACACAACCATAACATATATGCAGAGGTCCTACTTCAGACCCGTACAGACTCCCTGATCATTGGTTCAGTCTTTGTGAGCCCTGGCTAGTTGGGTCATTTTCGAGTGGTGTCCTTGACCGCACGAACTCTAATCCTTACTCACCCACTTGCTGGAGGAAGCTTCTCTGATGATGACTGTGCTAGGCTCCAGTCTACAAGTATAGCAGAGAGTCATTAGAAATTATTTCATTAACTTTTTTGCCAGTCATGTTTGGTTCTATCCTAAGTCTCTGGACTGTCCAGTCTCTGTTAACTGGCCATCCAGGCAGTGTCAGGCATGGAATCACTCTCCTGATGATGGTGTTATAGAGTATTAGTTTAAGATGTGTTACATTCATTTATGCTGTGGAGTATTTGTTTAATGATGCAAAGATGTGTTGCATTCTTTTATGCTACACTTGTTTAACTCTGTAAAGCTGTGTTTGCCTGTCTGAAACATCTGACTGGTCTAATAAAGAACTGAACAGCCAATAGCTAGGCAGTGAGAGGGATATGTGGGGCTGGGTGGCAGAGAGAATAAATAGGAGGAGCTATTTAGGGAAGAGGAGGAGTAAGAAAAGGAAGAGAGGACACCAGGGGCCAGCTGCCCAGCCCGCCAGGGAGTGAGAAGGGAGGGAAGACATGACATGCAATAAAGAAAGGTTAAAAAGCCTGGAGGTGAAATGTAGAAGAAGAGAAACAGATTATTTGAAGTAAGAAAAGCTTGCTAGAAACAAGCCAAGCTAAGGCCAGGCGGGGAGTCCCCAAAGAGTAAAAAACAACCAACTACACATGGGTCTCAAGTTGGAAGTCACGGGAAGGCCACTCCCACAAGTTCTGAGCACACCTTTGCAGGCAGGACAAATTGTAGGTTGGGTTAGTGCCCGGATTCCTCCAGGGGAGGCTTCCCTGGGTATAGGAGAAGCTGCTTCAGACTGATGTCACCCTGTGGATTCCCGGGAGTTTCCAGTGCACAGGGTTTCTGTCTCGCCCCGGAAATGCCCCCCAAGTCCAGTCATCTCTTCCATTATTGAAAATCTTTGAATTCGATTTTGAGCTGTAATATAAACTTAGGCTTAGATGTCTTTTTCTTACATTTTTTTTTTTTTTATAGTTCAGAGTGGCATTTTTTTTCTGAGTTGTGTATTAATTTTCAAGTGAGAAAATGCTGGGTTAATGTTGGGTCAGTCTGTCATGAGCAATTATCTTGTTTCCTAGGACACAGGCCTCCAGATATGTTTCCTTTGAAGGATGCTGACATGGGTGCTTTTACGTTCTTCGCTTCAGCTCTTCCTCATGATGTTTGCGGAAGCAACGGACTTCCTCTCACACCAAATTCCATCAAAATTTTAGGACGCTTTCAAATCCTTAAGACCATTACCCATCCCAGACTCTGCCAATATGTGGATATTTCTAGAGGAAAGCATGGTAAGTTTGGTTTTTGGTTTGTTTGGTGTTCTATTTTGTTTGTTTGTTTTTATGTTTACTGCCTCAATTCAAGATGCAATTTTAAATACAGAATTAATATATGTTGACATGCAGTCATGAACTTTCTTTTATGTTTCAAAGTAAACTTGACTTTTAAAATTAAAAGGGAGTCATTATTTTCTT